TACAGAGAAAAGAGAGGAGGGTCAAGGTTGATATGCTTACCAAGATGGACTAGCACAATAAAGGGAAATGGGGAGTGAGGCGTGTGATAGGGGAGAAAAATGTGGCATGAAGATTGGATTACAGCTTACCATACTTGGCCACAAGTTTTTGAATTTGAATTCAAAATGGTGCCAAAGATTGAGAATATAGGCGGCTTTCTATGAGGCTTAAAGGCGGGTTTCTTAATGTAGTATGGGCCGAAACATAAGGGTTGAAAAGGCTAAAAAGAAAATGTTTGTTCCAAGCTTGGGAATAATTAGATAAATGGCTCAAAATAAATGGCTTGCACTTGAACATGAAATTTGAACGATTTATGCTTGACGAAGGAATTTCTAAAACTCGAAGTAATTTAAGCAGACGAGAACATCTACATAAATTATTTAACTTATTGAATTAAATAGATGAGGAAATCTAAATAATCTTAAAGAACTTCGAGCTTAATGAAAATGATATGCAATGAGTTATCTCTTATTAATCGAAGGGGGAACTACACCATTAGCCCGCGCCTGCTCTTTTTGTGCCCGCGAACAATCTCACCCAGGTCGCGAGTGTCCGGGCGCGCTGTCGTACGCAGGTCGTCCCATCGTTGGTTACGCGGTGTCGCGCGCATATCTGCCTATCACGCGATCAGGCCTGCTGCACTGCGCCATCGACCGCGGTAGCCTATGCTGTCTCGTCAGGTCTCACCGAGGCCTGCGCAGTCTTGCCGAGTCTCGGTCCCGATGACCCATGCTTTGTCTCATATGAGCTCACATGCGTTTCCCGACCCATCCTCGCGTTGTTTAAGGCCTTCAAGAGGTTTTCTCAGGTCGTCTCGGTTCTTGACTCTTGACGTCCTTGGAGGTCAAAACCTCCATTCTCATCACCATGGTTGTGCGAACGGGCTGCACTCGGTGCTAGGCCACGAGTCCACCAGACGCTGACAGGGCAGACCGACCAGGAACTTTCCGGCGAGTTTCCAGCACGTTTTTCGGTGAATTTCCCGATGCGTTTCCAACAAAAATATCCAAACCACATTTTTCTACAAAAACAAAAATATAAAAGTAGACGCAAATTACACAAAAATAAGAAAATAACATGAAACCCCACAAACGAGTAAAATCATCCTTATGGATCAAATCATTTTTAATGTACATAGAAATTTATAACTCTGAACTGTAATCAAATATTACTTTTAATGTACATAATTTTAAGGTACATAAGGACGAGTAAAATCGTCCTTATGGATCAAAAAAATTACTCTTTTTGAAAATTGAATAATTTTTTAATGTACATAGAAATTTCTAAGGTGAATTTCATAATTCTGAATTGTACCCGGCCATCAAATATTAATTTTATTAATATATATATTTATTTTCAATATTACTATCATTACAAATAATATATTCAATTTTGATGTACTTTTTAGTTTCAACAAACAATAATATAAAATATTACATAAAAAAATAAATACTAAATATATTTTTTTATATAAATAATTTGAAAAATGCACTGTAAAGTTAATTAAAATACATATTATTAAAATTCTTACAATTGAATTGCATGTAATAAATACCCTCTCAATAGCCTGCACAATAATGTTATACTAGATGCATTTGTGTTTATGCGCTTGGACTTTATTATTTTCGGTATCTCGTATATTATATTTTTTAACCATAAAATAATATAAAAATAATAAATAAAACTATTAAAATACTAAATATAATTGTAATATAAATAACGAGTTATTTCAATTATCTAAGATAATTCGGTTAACTGACTGAATATACCAAGCAATTCTATTCGTTTTAATTCGATTTGGGACATAAGTTCAGTCGGTTCAATCTGCATAGTATCGACCAACACGTGCACCACAGTGTTAGACGAATTACACATTGATAACAGTTAGACTGCACATTATATTATGATTACATATGAATTTTTTTAATTAAAAATAATATAAAATATTAAAATACTAGATATATTTTTTATAATACAAATAATAATGTATTTTGATTATTTTGGTTATTTCAGTTAACCATTATGTCGATTCGATTTTAGTTTTTCTTGAGACAAAAGTTCGATCAGTTCGTCTTTTCAAAAGTTCGACACGATTAGATCAATTTCGACATTTTGATCGACCGGTTCGACAGAACCAACCGATGAATAACATAAATGAAGTGGCATTTGGATAAATTTGTGAACTTTTAAATGTATAGGCGTCGGAAAATCTATAATTTCGTAAAAATATAGTGTTATTTTTAATGTGCAATTCCTCACGCAATAATGTACAATTTATGTAACATTATTGTGCATGTATTGAACTTTTATTATATTACAGGTTGTCCTCAGGCACTAAGTTGAAATATATCAAAACTTTATAAATTGCAATAAAGTCTCTAAAATATATCAAAATTTTACAAAAAAAACCCCACAATCCCTAAAGATGAACAGCCGGCCAAATCATTCCACCTCCGCCGGAGCTCACTCCTGCCGGTCCCGTCACTTTCTCTATGGACACCGCTGTCGTCCTCGACTCCAAAGTCTTAATGCCGCCACTGTCCTCCGCTAGACACCCGGCGCTTTCCTCTTTACAAAAAAAAAATAAAAATAAAATAAAACAGATCGACCATTTAATCCACTTCACAGAGCGTCGTCGCTGTCCATTCTCCTCCGCCATTCCCCTGCAACTACCATCGCCTGTCAATTGACGTCCTACCCCTACCGACACCATCACCCAAACACACACACACACACATACACACACACACACGAGTTATATATTTTCTGTCGGTGGACTGATTTGGCTTTGCGGCGACGATGGCATGGAGGACAGAGCTGGGTTCCGCCAGATCATTCTGTGTCGCATTCGTCTCCGGTGACGGGCTGCGAAGGCGCGACGACTCAACTGGTGGTAGATGATGGCGGGGATGTCGTGACTGTTGGCGACGGCATCTGAGTCAGGAACACGGCTGGTGTCGGCGGCGAAAGGCGTGGGTCGGCAACGGCGGGTGGGGGTCGGTGGCGGTATGCGGGTGGTGGTTCCCCTGTGTGTGTGTGTGTGCGCGCACATATGTTAGAGTGTGATTTGTGTGTATATGTGTGTGTGTGTGAGAGAGAGAGAGAGAGAGAGAGAGATATCAGGGTTATGTTTGGGGTGAGTCCTATTGGATGAGTTGACCTTATTTATAATGACCAATCTATCCTTAATTAATAGTCAAATGCACATGTTTGACCATATATTACATCTTATTTACATGAAAGCCACCCATGCTTGACTGCCACTATTAAATTTTGACTTGATCATGACCGTTGGCTTGATGAATCCATTGGTCCAGAATTATTATTATTTCTTTCATTATGTTTCATTCTCATTTAAATATACTTCTATATAAATTGGAATTGGAAAAAAAAAATATTCAGTGTTATTTCACAAATAAACAACTTCTTGAGAAAAATTGTTGCTTACTTGAATTAGGTATCATCATTAATATTTAGTCCTAAAATAATGTATGTATAATCCACACGAAACATTACATGCCAGCTTCAAATTTATTTGCCAATCAAAGTTTGAAAAATGTATCATATGTACATAATCTGTAGGTTGAGTAGACAATTTTTTTTATGCCAAAAAAAATGTAAGATAATAACAATACAAAATAGGTTTTTGGACATTTAAGTAGGTGTCGTTTTATGGTAGTTGGTCCCGCGTTCCGTGGCATTTAAATAGCTTTATCTGCAAATTCCTACTTCCACCACACAAAACATTATACCAAGATAAAACACCATAAATAAATATAAACAATTAAGCAAATGAAGAATAAATAACAAATAGGTAACCAAAAGAGGACAAATTGAAATCAATAATGAAAAAGGGGGGACCCCCTCACATCCCACGCTCCATTCACACATAAAATAAATAATTAAAATAAAATGAAATCGAAATCTTCTTCCTTTTTGATTTCTCTATTGGTTGTTCTTTTTTTTATATGATAGGTCATAGGCATACTCGATCACTGTTAAGTGTTATGTATAGCAGTACGAATTGGATATAACTAAATCCTTGGATTGATTTAATAATCTAAAAATTGCATTAGATTAATTTTGTAGGTCAAAGTTCGATTTGGTAATGAGTGGTAGAATTTAGACAAAAAAATCAATCATCTTTGCTAAATTAATAAAGCTATTATATTTTAAAAATTGTCACAGTTGAACACTTATAATACAAGCTTTATTTTAATTATAAAATTATAAATATCTATTTCGATTAACAAGTATATCACATTATTTTATTTTACATTTCAATAACATATATAATACTCATTATTTATTACATGTATAATATGATCATCCGTTAAAATTTTCTTTAGTGGGAAGTGGACGTTACCTCGTTTTTCATCTGTCTGAATGTATGCATCTTTCTGACACATTACGATAATGGCGTTTTCATATATCTATTGGAATTTCACACACAACATCCATCCATCCACATCTTTAATTTCAGTTTTTCTTTTCTTTCTGATTTTCCTCTTATTCTGAGAGAGAAAAAAGTATAACTTCTTTGCAGCAGGTAGCTTGATAAAATGCATATCAAATCATGATTTGGAAAAGGAAGATCAAATCACTGAACTTCCCCTTTTTGCCCAAAAGCTCAAACAACACTCCAAAAAATAAAATAAAATCATAAAAAGGGATATAATCTATGGGAAAGATTTTTTTAAAAATGGCAGAAAGAAAACAAAGTCAATATCAGTAGCATCATAATCAAGAACATCATATATGTATGTACCCAAGAAATCAATTCTTCAATTCTCACTTCTACATGCGTCTATTGATAAGCCCTTTGTTGATCTTTAATTAATTTATTTATTTCTTGTTTTGATGTGAAGGAAAATAAAAGGAAAAGTTAATGATGTGGATAAATGAGTGAATAAAAAAAGGGGGCATCTTTTTCCAAGTCTTTTTAGCACAGGCCCCCTCTCTCTCTCTCTCTCTCTCTCTCCACCTCTTTATTTCCTTATCAAGAAGGGGATGAGAGTTTTTGCAAGGAGCTATGGTTTCTTTGTAGTGTGATGACAGAGAGAATTTTTGAGTGAATAAGAAGGAAATTACTACAAAAGCACACAAAATAGTCTATATCTCATAGCTCTCATCAAATCATGAAACTCAAAATAGCCATGGTGGGTATGCTTATTACACCACACCAATATATGCTTAATTTCATCATCCATCTCTCTCATGTTTTCATAGGCTAATCTCTATCTCACTCTATCTCTATCTCATATGAGGAACAATCACAAGAGATATATTTAACTATAAAATTTCTCTTTTTTTCATAATTTTGTTTCGCAGATGGTGATGATATGGAACACGTGCACACTCAAATAATCTTCATCATCGCACGAGGTATACCAAATAATATTATTTTTAACCTTATAACCAATCCCTTTCTCCTTCACTCCATCTCTCTTTCCTAAATAATATATGTTAGATTAGATTAGATATATTGACAAATAAATAGATAATNAAAAAAAAAAAAATGCTTTCTTCACCTTTTTAGCAGACTCGAGGCGAAGAAGAAGCTAGCACAGAAGATAACAACACTAGTGTTAGATTATGACTTGTTGTAATTTACTTTTTTTCCATTTTTTATTTTATATTATTTTGTTACAGTGTATGTTGGACTTTTTTGGCGCAAGGAGTTTTTCTAATATAAATTACTAATATTTTATTACAACTTTCAGGGGTGAGCCGATCAGAATTAGAGTCTGAGTCACACTTTTGAGTGGTCAATTAGCGCCACAGTTGTTTCGTCTCCAATTCTGTGTCTCTAAAACTCCAATAATTGATACTTGAACAACAACAGGAGGTAAAACACACACATGTGATGTGAGTGTCTGTGTGTGAAAAGTTATTGGGATGTGAATTAAAATCTGACACGTAATCCCACCTTTTTTTTTCCCAATTTCTTAGTTAATTGGAATTAGCACAAAAGAGTCATAATCAATGGCAACCTACTTTCACGGCAACTCGTCGGAAATCAGCGGCCCGGGACCCGGCGGAGACGGCCTACAGACGTTGATACTGATGAATCCGGCCTACGCGGGGTACCCCGACGGCGGCGGCCAGCCTCCGCCGCCGCCCCCAAACCAGGGCGGCAACTTTGTATTCCTCAACCCTAACTCCGCCGCGAACAGTCCTCACGCGCCGCCGCCCCATGCCCAGCACCACTTCGTCGGCATCCCCCTCCAGAACTCCGCCGCGGCGGCGGCGGCGGCGGCGGCATCCCCCTCCTCCGGCTCCGGCCACGAGCAGCAGGACGTCTCCGCCCTGCACGGCTATCTCCCGCCGCGCGTCCACTACAGCCTCTACAATCTTCCCGTCGATCTGGGCCAGGACGTGGCAAGGGCTCCGCAGGGGCTTTCCCTCAGCCTCTCCTCCCAGCATCCGCCTCCCGGGTACGGGTCGTTTAGAGGGGATAGACCCGACCCGGTGCAGCCACAGCCGTCCCCCACCAGAGGGGACGCCGACGGAGTCAGGATCTCGGCGGGGCCGCCGTCGCCGGCGTCCGGGGTGACCAACGGCGTGGGTGGGGTCCAGAGCGTGCTCCTCAGCTCCAAGTACCTCAAGGCCGCGCAGGAGCTTCTTGAGGAGGTCGTCAACGTCGGCAGAGGGGCCAGGGGGCAGCCCAAGACTGCCGGAGAAGCCTCTCCGCCGCCGCCGGCGAGTGGAGAAGGGCAAGGCGGCGGGGAGAGCAGCGGGAAACGCGGGGCGGCAGCCGATCTGACCACGGTTGAGAGGCAGGAGATTCAGATGAAGAAGGCCAAACTCGTCAACATGCTCGATGAGGTAATCCTGTTTTTTTTTCCTTCCTTCTCTCAGTCTGTGTGTGTGTGTGAGAAATATGGGCTTTTTTGACACTTGACAACGACATATTTGGTGATGTATTAATGATCTGTCGCTGACATATTTTTTTCGAGATCTGTAACCGAAATCTTTCAGAAAAAAAATCAAAATTTGTAGCCATCACCTGATAGTTTTTCATTTTCATGTCAGATGAGGTGATGTTTTCTTTATTTCTACTGGGTACCAAATATAAAAGATACACAACCAACCAACTGAATAATAAATCAATTCAATTTCTGAAATTCTAATGATGTGGTTTATTATTTAATCAGGTGGAACAGAGGTACAGACAGTACCACCACCAGATGCAGATTGTGATCTCGTGGTTCGAGCAGGCAGCCGGAGTGGGGTCCGCCAAGACTTACACGGCCCTCGCCCTTCAGACCATCTCCAAGCAGTTTCGCTGCCTTAAGGACGCGATTTTAGGACAAATAAAGGCTGCCAGCAAAAGCCTGGGAGAGGAAGATAACATGGAGGGGAAATTGGAAGGGTCTCGACTCAAGTACGTGGATAACCAGATAAGACAACAGAGGGCTCTTCAGCAGCTGGGTATGATACAGCACAACGCGTGGAGACCACAGAGAGGGCTGCCCGAGAGATCAGTCTCTGTGCTTCGGGCATGGCTTTTCGAACACTTTCTCCACCCGTAAGTCTCTTTTTGTTGTCATTCTTTTATTTATTTATTTTTATTTTTTTGTGATTGAGTGTGTTTTAATGGTGGTTCTTGGGCGCAGGTATCCCAAGGATTCGGATAAACTGATGCTGGCTAAGCAGACGGGGCTTACCAGGAGTCAGGTGCATATCCTCATAATTACATGGTCTTTGAGTTTCTTCATCTTTTAATTGTTTGCAAATTGATGAATTTCGCATCAAAGTCACAGAGTTGAGTCTAATAACAACAGTTGAGTTGAAAAGTTGGAAAACTAAATTTGGTTTCTTGTAATAAAAAAAAGTAACAATTTTTCGTCTTTCAAAATTACTAAAATGACTATACTGATGCGAATGCCTATGCATTGTACTAAATCAGGTGTCCAATTGGTTCATCAATGCTCGAGTCCGCCTCTGGAAGCCGATGGTCGAGGAAATGTACATGGAGGAAATGAAAGAGCACGAAAAGAATAACACAGACCACAATAACAACAACAACAACAACAACAAGACAAGCAAAATCGAGCAATCGAACAACAACACCGACGACCCCACCTCAAAAACTCCAAACCAAAACCCGTCTCCAACCAACCTCACCCCACAAAAACACGACGAACCACCCCACACCCAAAACCCTCCCCCAATCATATCCATTTCCTCCCCCACACCCATCCCACGCCACATCCCATCAGGCTTCAACATAATCGGGCCTTCCTCATCCCCATCCGAAATCGAGGCCCTCTCCGCCCAACAAAGCCCCAAGAAGCTCCGCTTCGGGCCCAACATGGACGAAACGCGGGCCAGGGACAGGCCTGGGTTCGGGCTTATTGGAGGGCCCACCAACTTCATCGGCGGGTTCGGGGCTTACCCAATGGGTGAGCTCGGGAGGTTCGGGCCTGAGCAGCAGCAGCAGCAGCAACAGTTCCATGGGGGAAGTGGGCCTTATCTGGGCAATGGGGTGTCGCTGACATTGGGCCTACCCAACATTGGGGCCCACCAGAGTTTTATGCAGCCAGGTGGTGGGCAGGGGATGCAGATGGGGGAGGCAGGGGAGTTTGGGCAGACGAGCACAAATGTTTACGAGAGCATAAGCATTCAGGGCAGGAAGAGGTTCGCGGCCCAGCTTTTGCCAGACTTTGTGGCTTGAATCAAACTCACCCAAAATACCAACAGTAGGCTAGGCAAGGAAAAAGGAAGGGGATTCTTTTTTTGCCACAGGTAAAAGGTGGTGTTTTCTCTTTTCACTATTTTTATATGTCCTCTGGCTTGCTGGGGGATTTGGCAATAGTGTAGAGAAGGAAAAGGAAGGTTATAGGTAGTGAATGTAGGTATATATTTTTATGATTTTATATCTATATATAAATCTGTGTAAGTTGAAGCAGAGCCGTATAGGGTTCTTTGTTACGGACCACGATTCTTATAGGTATTCATAGGATATTGTTGGCGATTTGTATATTAATTTTGTATTCTGCAGCAAACGGATAGATGATTGTGATCATGTATTGGGGAGAAACTAGTTGTTTTGGGTGGTATAGAAGAATAAAGGAGTGGATTTTTAAGTATGCTGATATCTTCTTCTTNAAGCCGTGTCCTCGCCTTAGAGAAATTAGTTGCTGTTATGTGCTTTATATTAAGCTATGTCCTCGCCTTATAAAAAAAAAAAGAAAAAAATTAAAAAAAAAATATGGCGAATGATAGTTAAACGTCCTTTATCCGTGTCTACACATTTGCTTGTATGGCAAAGGGAACATTATGCGTTAGATTTCTAGTTTCATGTCTCCCCTTGTTTATATTTTGAAAACTCAAGTTCTTGTGAAAGCTATAACTCATATATTTTTTTTTTCAATAAAAATGCATATTGATGTTATATAATGTCACACTCAATTTTGTTCATTTTATCTTTTAAAGGTTTATATTTGATGTTCAGAGTATGAATATTTTCTAAAAAAGTATGTATATCTAATCATTGGGGCAGCCTAACAACGATATAGTTTTATAAATAGAAACATATGAAACTGTTTTTCAATATATCCAAAATGCATTAAAATTTATGCTAGAAACATATGAAACTGTTTAAATTTAACAACTTTTACAAAAATACGACATTTAAAATTTAACCATATACATACCATTCATAAACTTGTTCTAAACCAAACAAATAATGCAATTTAAAAATTAATGATAAAAATATACCAAACATAAATAAAAAGTAAACTGTAAAAGCGAGATAAATGGTGTAATTTTGTCAAACATAAAAATTGTATCCAGTCACTTATCGCATGGGCTACATGGATTTTGGACATGAAACTGAGCCAACCGGTCGAATTAATCCGGTTTACCTCTCATACATGTGTAGGCTATAGTTGTGATTTTCCTTTCCCTCTCTTTGTATTTGTTTCCAAATGATTTAAACAATCAATGGCTGCGGCCCACCCTAGTTTGTAAGCCTTATCCTGGAAGACTTCTTTACGCCTTTATAGCTATAGGCTGAGGATGATGATGCCTATTGACAAGGACACAGGGCCATTTCCATTTGAATTATTACAGAATTATTAATTAACTACTGCTTTCAAGTTGAGGTTTTATTTTAGTTCATTGATTTACTAGGTGATATTTGACCAAGTAAGGATTAATATAACTGCAAAACTTTTCTTCAGTTATTACCTCAACTTTGCTAGGCTTTAATTTGTCGAAATTTGGTTCGCTGTCTCTGAACCAGCTCAGTCAGTGGTCAAGAAAACATTAATTAGTGGATGCCTGTCATTACCTACCTCTGGTGCCGTACCCTGTTCCAAATCAACTGGATTTTAAGATTTTTTTTTTTTTTTTTTGGAAATTAAGATTAGTGTATGAATGTTTGAAAAAACATAAATTGGAGAATATGAAAAAACATAGATTGGTGTATGAATGTTTGAAAAAACATAAATTGGAGAATATGAAAAAACATAGATTGGTGTAGAAACTCAGAGATTGAAGAAAATAGTTCAAAATCGCAATTGTGAGAAAAGAAAAGAGAAAGAAGAAGAAGGTCGTTTTATATGAAAACCTTCGGCCCCTCATGGAAACCCGCATGGAGCGACGTTTCAAAATTTGAAAAAGGGTAAAAAAAACACGATCAACGGCTCAGATCGAGGCCATGTCACCCTGTAGAAGTTTATCCCCACGCATTTTTAGGCATTTATGGAAATTGGGACACGCCACATGAACAAAAAAAACCCTTCAGATGTCATGATTAATGCCTGGGGATGCAAACCGCCTTAAAGGATGCATCGGCCACGATTAAGGGCCCAAATCAACTTAGAAGTGGGTTTGGAGTACGACCTCAAAAAAGTCACTAACCGTGGCATATCTGAGCTCGAAGGCCTATATATGTTGACCCCCAAGTTAAGAAAAGGGCCAACAAGAGAAAGTAGGACAATTCACACAGGATGAACGAGCTGAATTCTCAGGTCGGTCACCCGACCGAGAAGGACCAAGGTGAAAGATACAATGAGACCAAATTCAACAAGGGCTTTAACTCGAGCCAGACGAACAGTCCGAGCAGAAGGCAATAAAATAAAATCCACTTGCACCCTAATGATGGAAAGTACATCTCTGCTGGCTAATCCATCGGCCTACGGGTCTTAGACTCATAGGGTAGCACGACACATTAAATGCGTTTTTTCAATCAATTAAATGCATATCGTACGGCCTAATGAACAGTTTTCGGGCTACAACTACTATATATACTCTTGTAGTAGATCCAAAAAGTGGATATAAAATAAATTATACAACTCACGAGATAAAAACTCTCACACTACACAAGCAAAATATTAGATCGAACAATAACAGTATTGGCCGACCTGAGCCATTATTATTCTGATACCTTTTATCATTTTGTGTTTTCATTTCCGTTTGATTTCTCCATTATAATATTCATGTTTATCATAATCAAGCATAAAAAACAAAATTCTTTTTAAACACTTTTAACTTATTGGTCAAATATGTTTTGTCAATAATCGTATATACGCAAATAAGATTTGTAGTAATAGTTGTGTAAATTCGCCATCAAAATTCTGTCCAAATTTAAAACCAACCCATGACTTTTGTAGCTGGAACACGACTTGGTACGAGGATAAAACTTAGTTTCAATAACAGGAAACTAATAAAAGCAACCTTGTATAAATATCTGAGATCTAAGTTTGCGATTAGCCCAAAACTGGCCCATGGGCCTAGTAAATAATAATCCAACTGAATATATAAGATCCTGGGCAACAATTCCTCTAATCAAGACTCATTTAGTTGTTGAAATAATGACTCATTATGACTACATATATATTTTAACTAGTGTGTACCTCGTTCGATACACAGAAAACAATACTCCCTCCGTTTCTTATTAGATGTCGTTTTGACTTTTTTGATTCATCCATTTTGTTACGTATCTAGACATTAAATATGTCTAGATACGTAGCAAAATGGATGAATCAAAAAAGTCAAAACGACATTTAATAAGAAACGGAGGGAGTATTAAATAGTAATTATAAATAAGACTCGAGTTTGAATCACTCAATGCAGGAAGTGAGAATTACTATTGATCCTCTTTGAAAAGAGGAAGAAAAAAGAATAACTATAAATTAAAGAAGAGTATAAATAATATTAAATAATAACTATAAATCAAGGATGTGGGGTCAAACAATGTAAAATTATCTTGTATAAGAGAATATAAAATTGTATGTTTAAAATATTAAAAATACCTAAATTATTATATTAATATATGTAAAAGTATCCAAAATTTTCTGTATTATTTTTCAAAGTTGTGAAGTCACCTACAACTTTTCTAAACTATTTTGGAAAGAAAACATGTCTAAAAACATTTAAAATTAACATCTTGTGAAGAAAACATGTCTAAAAATATTTAAATTTAACATCTATTATGTATATGTGTATATGTATATATAGATCGACAATGTAAAAAAAAATGTCTAAATAATTTGTTTAAAGTATCTATAATATTATAAGTCTAGATAAAGACATTATGTCACACTAAAGTTTTGAGTGGAGATTTAGATGATACAGGCATTTATGACGTTACTCCCACCTACAAAGATATCTATCTATTTTACCAATTCAAAAAATCAACCAAATTTTTTAATATCAAATATGAAACGAAATTAAAAATTTGGGAGTTTTTAAATTGCATATGCAATCTGATTCGAATTTTAATTTAAGGTTTGAAAACATGGTATTCAAAATTGGGAGAATCCCAAAATTTTAGGATGCAACGTGGATTGATTACTTTGTAGGGAATTAAAGAGCTGCCTTATTTAAATTGATATTCAATTGGAGAGTTTTAACGCAACCGAAATCATAAGAAATTGTTCCGATCGTTATTTAAATTGGTATTCAATTGGTTAGAGTTTTAATGGCAACAGAAATCTTATAAAAAATTGTTCCGATTTTTAATGGCGTGTGTATGGAGTCCGATTGTTAATAGCGTGTGTGTATGGAATGAAAAACCAAATTTTTAGGTTGTCCGAAAATTTTATCTAAATTTCCAAAAATAAATAAATTAAATGCTGTCCAATTTTTTTACTAGCTATATTTAGTAAATGTTAATCTCTTTATATAGATATAGATATAGATTATGTTTCCGCAGACTCTTATTTTTCTTTATATTTTGTATCATTTTTTTATATATTTATTGCATTTATCTTTACTTAAATACTTGTTTTTAAATCGACAGTTTCACTTGTCGTATTCCGGGACAAGTTAATACATCATTTTCATATCATTTTTTCTTCCCTCTCTCATATGTCTTTTTCATCTATTTTGTCTCTCTTATTTTTCTTCTTTCTCTTCCGTATCTTTCATTTTATTCAAGAACTTATGTTCTCCTTATAATTTTATTTTCTTATTTTTACCATAATTTTATCCTCTGTAGTATTGGTTTTCACGATTTCCGTCACGGAGCACCGCCGTCGTCAACCACAAGTATTATGTCGTATAGCGATACATTCGAGGCTCGTTTGCTACAACGCCATCACAATTGAGTCGCTGACCCCCAGATGAGGACAGTGTGTCATGTCCCAACGGTGTACTCCAGATCTGATCTGCCACCAACCGCTGGTTTCCAATGACATCCGCCGCCTGCAAGTCAAGTCCAAGACCTCCGTTCAACGTGTAGCTGACCGCCGCTGTCGTTCGAAGACTGCCTGTAAATTTGTCAGCCGCACAGAGCAGTTGTCGATGCTCTTTGTTAAAACTAGGGAGAGAAGTTCAAATTTTGGTTATTTTAAGGTCGGTTTCTTTTTAATCTCTCAATTTTATTTGTTTGCAGACAATTTTTTTTTACAATTCTATCTCTCAAATTTTGGAAAACGGTTAGTTG